GGGGGGGGGGGGGGGGGGGGGGGGAGAGAAATATTACACTCTCCTGACTTCAAGATATATGAGGGCTTTTGCTAAATTAGCTGTGTTGCCAGACTTTCATTGTGGAATTTATAATTCTACCAAAAATATTTCCATGTGAAGATGAACCATCAAGCTAAATATTTAACTCAGCATTCGCACAAATTTATCAATTTTTTTTGTGGCACAATGGTACAACTTCTGGGAAACATCCTGTTAAAGGTAACGGGGCACTTAGCATATTTCTTGAAAAATTTGCTAAAAAAATATCTTTGCACATTTCTGCTTTTGATAACTTATACCTACAAAAGTACATAACGATCCAAAAAATGGTGAATTTTACCAGTTAGGCATCAAGGGAGGGGTGAAATATGGGAACATAAATATAGCATTATAGGTACCTAAGATGACATATCAGTGAAATCAGTGAATCATTTGAATCAGTGAATTCGAAAATACACCAACTCGGAAAAAAAAAATTTCAGGAAACACCTAAAACTTCGCAGCGGGCGAAGAAGTTGGTTTAAGAAAAACCTTTTTGATGCCAAGGGACGCAAGAAAGTACTCTAGAGACTTTAAAGCACCAAGTCTCAGGTACTGATTTTTCATAGTCTGCCCTGAAAAATTTATATTTTTTGACCTGAATAACGCTTGAATATTTATATAACTTGTTGGCACCAGGTATACTGAACCGAAAAAAGAAAACCGCATAGTCGGATAGTCACCCGTTTCCCTTGATCGGCCAAAAATTGGTATTTCCAATGAAATTCTTCGATTCTTCCATTTTCCCGTCGCTGTTTCGAGCACTTCCGATTGCAATTTCGAAATATCCTTTTGCGTGCAAATGCTTCTATACTTATCCATAAATGTTACTAAACCGTAAAAAAGTGAAAATCGAAAAAAACCCGTGTTGGAGTATTTCCGAACTCACTGATTCATTTTACATTATTGGAAACATGATTATTTGGATGGATAAGGTGGGGAGACGGCAGACGATAGGATGGGTTAGAGTAGAGTCCCGAGTAGGTATTGGTTAGGGAGTGCTCGAACTGCTCTGAGTGAGTTCCCGTCGCGCCACGCAGCCATCTTGCCTGCTCATTCCGAGGGGGTCCTTGCCTGCAAAAAGTAAACATCCCTGTGGTAGAGTCAGGGACGAGTTCTATAGGACCCTGGACTCCCGTAAGAGTCAATGTAAAAATTCGTGAGCAGGTACTAGTGCTGCTATCGCGCGTAGGATCCTCGCAACTCACTGCTGTTATCAGTTGTTGGACTTCATTAAAATCCGTAGGATCGCGTATAACTGCAAAAAATCGAATTTTTCACCGTATTAAGACATGGAGCGAGCCCTTCCTTGTCGAAAGGGGTCGAAAAACGCCAAAAATATACTCATTTTTCAAGAATTCAGCCGCCTTATGTGTTATTTTTCAATCTCCAGCTTAACCTCACTTTTGGAGCGGGCGATGGATGAGTCGAGGCTCGGGGGGAAGGATCCTCTGAGTTGACTAGGATCCTACGCGAGAATGCGCTGCAATCACCCGCTCACAACAGAACGGCGTCCTATAGAACTCGTCCCTGGTAGAGTGTACCTTCTTTTTCTTTATCCGCCTTGTGTACCTTGCTCTTCTATTTACGTCTACGTCGGTTGTGCAGTAATTTGCTGATTGAATACTCATTATTATTATTATTTACAGTTTTTTTCTTCGCTTAATCTAATTTCATCATGTCAGATGTTGAAGACGACTTTATGTGTGAAGATGAAGAAGATTACGGATTGGTAAATCAATCTTGTGTTTTTCTAGGAATTCATTTGCCAGCTCTCTTCCTCACCTGTTTACGTTTCCCCCTCTACTCCCTTGTCTCTGTCATCTCCCAAGGAAGAATTTTACATTCTCCATCAGGTCTTTTAGTTTTTGGAATGATATGCAAATAGATCTCAAGTTTTATCATACCCTGTCGGATGTAGTCGTCTATTCTACCAGACTCAGGGAAATTCGACCCTGCTACAAAGTCGCGATTTTGCCACCGGCTTTGAGAAGAGCCGTCTAATTAATACCCTCCCCTCATTTGTATGCAGTATTGATTGTCACTCTGGAAAGTTCAAACTGTAAGTGACTTGTGACAGATGTGGGCTTTGTTGTAATTCTGTCCAGTCCTTATCTTTGAGGTTAGGTCTCCTGTACGGAATGGCACTAAGCTACCTGATATGCACGAACTTAGCTGTAGTTTTGGATTTGACTCGTCCACTAGAAATCCTATAACTCGCATTTTTTTCTAACTTCATGTAATACCATATGATGCCTCACTAAGTGCATGTTGAGGGCCTCTCTGTGTGGGTTAAGCGATTTGCAGTCAGGTTGTTTGATCAAATGCAGACATTTGGCGAGTGACACCCTTGTGAATGCGAGAAAAAAAGGCTTTATTCAGAATTTTTGGCTAATTTGACTTGCAAGTAGTACATGAAGCGCACTTCAAGGGCAGAAGTTGCATGTACTCATTCAAGAGCGTTTGATTAAAAGTTAGTTCTAACTGACATTGCATTTGTATGAACGAAGGAGGTGGACATGGGTATTCATTGCACCAAATTGGAGAACAACACTGTGCAAGTGCATTACATTTTTAATGGACAAACTTCCTTGTTTTCTGCCATTTTCCAGTCTACTTAATAAGTATCTTATCCAAATATGGGCACAGCATCCTTACAATGCTCACCTAAGTATGAAACAGAGGAACTGGTTGAACTTCAAATTAGGGATGGACGAATATCGAATTCAAATGCGATTATTTGAGAATTCGAACCTTGTGATTGTGAATAGTTGGGAAGCGAATATTCTAATATTTTCGATTATTGCTTCGATTTTTGATTTTTTATGAACCGTGAGAGAAAAATGACACTTTTGATACTTCTGAATGCAATTATTCGAACATTCGAATGCGATTATTCGAATTTGCGATTGCGAATACTTCGGAAGCGAATATTCGAATGTGATGCGATTACCTCGGTGCTGATAATTCGAATATCGGATGTACAAATATCTAAATATTCGACCATCCGTACTTCAAATCCCTCTCCTATGGTCATGAAATGGAGTCAGCATTTTTGGACCGGAGCAGTACTGAGTACTTGCTAGTTGGCCAAGTTGCGTCCTGATCTGGTGAATTTTTGAAAGTGGTGTGAGAAAGTATGAGTTGATACTTTCAGTTCCTTCATCACAGTGTGCTTTAGAGTCAATATAAATGTTTATGATTTGTAGCGAGGGGCTGAAAGAATGATAGAGAATATAGAATTTTGAGATGAGCCTCTTGATTCAAATTCTTGGCTCATTGTCTGTGCAATTTATCTTTAATTTAGAATACACCAGATTGGAAGAACGCAGGAACTGGGCAACTGGAGAGATGGAATGCTTTTTTAGTTGCTGTGGTGCTGAGCAGCACCACACCATAACATTATGCAGCTTAGTAGCGCAGCGTGTGGGTGCATTCATGATCACAGGAATAGTCATAGAATGTGCAACACCTTAAAGATAAAAGTGCACCAATTTTATCACTTCGTTTTAAAGGTATTGAATTTCCATTTTGCAGCTTCGGCATGAACTATTTTGAAAAAAGAAAACCATCGAATCAGGTATCAACTCTTCCTGTGGGACTGCCGGAGGTCCATGCAAACATGGCGGCACTGTCAAACTGTGTCAGTTACGTAACCGACACTTGAAAATGTGAATTGAAAGTTGATACAAAAGATTAAACTTGGCAACTCTTGAGATATGTGGTGGAATTAATGCTGCCTTAAAAGTTCCCTAAACCTTGAGGATTTCTGTTTAGTTTAATAATATTTAATTGAGGATTTTGTGTAGTGAGAAGTTAGTGCTTCACACCTAAAAATCACTGGTTTTCATTGTTGAAAAAGCTGACTTTTCAGTAATGGTTTGGTCAGGAGGACTTCAGCGAACAATTTGATCACAGTTTTGAAACTCCCACCTCCATCTGGCGAGATAAACACTGCATTTAATACAGCTGCTAAAATCTGTTGCCCAGTGTGGTGACACTTCTTTCTAATGACTCTCCTCACTTAAAAATAAATATTCCAGTTGAAAATGGCAATTTTCTTGAGCATTACAGTCTCCTCTTGGCAAACATTGTCAAAGAATCCATGATCAGTACTGATTTATTACCACAAATTGTTCTTTCAATTCAAAATCAGGGTTGGCGAGGTGTAGCTGACCTGAAATACAATCTGATTATAAATATGATAAATCATGATTATTACATTATAATAATAATAATAATAATAATAAAAAATCATAATCATAATTTCACATTATTTTCCTACTTTTTAGCAAAGATAAGTTCAGGGACATCATTGTTACTGATTTATCAACTTGGTTTTCAGTCGATTTGGTCTAGGTCATTTATAATCTACGGCGGCACGACTATTCCTCGTGATCGTGAAATCGAAATCGTGAAATAACCCCTGTACTACTGCGCAACTGAAGGTGAATGCAAGTGATAGAGGGATGAGATTCACCACCAGGATCCACTGTACAGCCCATGTCGTTAAGTGTGTGCGTTAAGAATCCACAATTGTCGTAGCCCACAAACTGCAATTTTCTGATTTATAACATGTAGCAAGATTATTATCGAGTATTGAGACATCAAAACTGTAAAGATTTGGCGAGGATATGTACTGAAACTTAGAAAATAAGAAGTCGCTCATTAATTTCATGTGCAGGAGAGAAACCATTACACCCCTCTCTTACCCATCATATCAATAAGAAGCATCCAGTTTCCCTAATTTCAATATACCTACCGGGTGTTGCAAACCACCCGTCCACTCTCTTTTTCTCGAAAACGGCGGTAAATTGAGCTTCGAGACCAAAACTTTCACTGCGTAAATCGACCCCAAAGAATCGAATGATCAGATTTTTAGCCCCCCAAAATGGACCCTTGGGGGTGTATTGAGGGTGGGGTGCTCCCCCCGTTTCTCGCAATTTACAGAGGAAGGGTATGTTTTGACTTTGTATTCGGAATCTACGGCAAAAAGTAAGATCATTTTGCTTAACATTTTGAACTTTTTCCCTAAACCCCCATTTTTTGGAGTTATGGGGCATTTTCGGGCATTTTTTGGGCAATTTCCAATCCGATGCTATACTAACACCGTACTGCGCGGCGCGCGTCCCGGGCAGGCAGAGGAGCGCGCGGATCTGCCTCAGAACGGCCGGCTCCCCGTCCCCCAATGGTTTTTCCCGTTTCACGCCCTAAACATCGATCCCACAGAAAAATTCATTGGAATCATTTTTGTTTCTAATAAAATTTCCCATCGTCCTGTTGTAGAAAAATTACGCTAACATTAGCCGTTCAGCAGTTATTCAAAATTCAAAATTTGGGGGCCCCCCTGCCCCCCCAGGGGGCTCAGATTTTTGGGGTCTATGTCTAAATCGAATGTCTATAGGGTAGAGATGAATCCCTGAAATTTTCATGCTTTCTTCCAGAAGTGCACGATTGTTACGCTTATCGGCCCCACTATGAAAGTATTTTTTTCATTATGAGGCTAGCTTTTCATATTACTTGATATATTTACTTATGAAATCTAAACTTCACAAATATGAACGGAAAATTTAACGTAAGAACTTGTTTAAAAAAGAATTTATACAATTTTCCACCGACAATGTAGAGAAAGATCGGCGAATAAAATTGACGGTTTCAAAATGCCGAGAATTTGCGCAAAAGCGGACAATACGATGCCCTTTTTATGATCGAGTAAGATAAGCAGAGGAACCAATCCAATTAAAAGAATTAAGAACTTAACTAAAACAACGTAGCTCGTTTGTTTCGGCGTTTGAATTCTCCCTCTCTCATTTTGTTTGAAAATCAATAAAGAAGGAAAACAAAATTGAAGAATTGAACATTAAAAAAATAATTGTTCAAAGTCTCATATTAATCGTCTTCAAACATAAAATAAAATACTGTAAAAATTTCACGGCAAAATCTTAGTTCATTATTCTTAAAAGTATAAGGTAGAACTTGCACCAGGAAACATTTTGAACGAAAATGATAACGACAGGAGAATGCGTATCTATCCGAAAACGAATCACATGCTACCAGCAGATGAACCCTGAAATCGGATAAAAGGGTTGGTGGTAGGGGTGATCAACGGCCCAACATCGCCGTGAGTCCGGGAATTGGCGAGGGCTGCACGGGGCGAGTGCCGCATGTCCGCAAAGCATGGGGAAAAATGCCGTGAGTGCCACCCGCGTCCCGAGTTTCCTGGACATACGGCAATCTATCGTTGCAACCTCGCCTCTATGCGGGACATACGGCAGGCAATTACCCTCTCCATATCTCTGAAACCAATGAAGATACGCCTTTGCTGACTTCACCATTGAACAGAGCATGCTTCACTTAGTCTAATTTCATGTCTAACTCAAAAAAAATTTTTTTGGTTCATACGGCGTTCTTCCTTAGCACGGCAGTACAGTTCTCCGACCTGTTGGACCAGTTTTCTCTGCGACTTTGTGACTTGCTCTCTTGTGTTTTGTGTGGTTTAGCTAGGTACATTTTTTTCATCTTAGTTATTTTATTTATACTTTTTTCACTTACTCATGTGATTCATTGGCGGATCCAGCAAATTGGCAACATTGACTTTTCTCCATTTAAATCTAGGGAAATGAATCGATCCTTGGAGGGGCCAGGTGCTTCGCCAAGAATCGATTATTTAGCATAGGTTTAAATGGAGGAAATCCAGTGTTGCTACATTGCTGGACTCGCCTCTGATGTGATACCAGTAATTTATCAGTGATATGTGAAGTACTCTTTATAAAATTGTTTTCTTTCCCATGGTAAAGACTTATCATAATTTAGAATCCTTCGATAATCCTGAGCATATTTCTCCTCATGAATCACTCATTATAAAATAGTTCTTCAAAGTGCCAGAAACCCAGCTTTACTTATTTTCTCGTGAATGTTTTGTTTCTATTTGCAGGAGTATTCGGAAGATAGCAACTCAGAACCTGATGTCGATCTGGAAAATCAATATTATAACTCCAAATCACTGAAAGAGGATGACCCAAAGGCTGCTCTTGCTTCTTTTCAGAAAGTGCTCGACCTAGAAGGAGGAGAAAAAGGAGAGTGGGGATTTAAGGCGCTCAAGCAAATGATAAAAATTAATTTTAAACTGGTAAAAGTTTTACGTAGTTTTGCTTTTTTTTTTTTTTACTTAAAACGTTTCTTTCCTGAAGATATTGATAATTGAATGGTTTCTCTTTGTAATAAGTCAACTTGAAGGGTCTGGATTCAGCACATATTCATGGGCGTGGTCAGGGGGGGTCTGCCCCCTAGGGTGGAGCAAAAAATACTTATTTTGGAAATCGCTTAACTGTTAGGGCTATAAGGGCTACATTTAAAGTGAATGAACTGATGGTTTTTCTTTTTTCAAAATGTTAACCCTTTCTGCTTGCACAAAGGCTGTAAAGTCTCCAATTTTTCAAAAAATTTCTCTCAAATCAATCCTGCCTACCACCTTGTTCTCACCTGAACTCAATTGAATTATGGTTAAGCCGATGCGCTGAGTCTGTTTATGGCCATTCGAACATTAACAAATAGTAGGAGTATCGTTAAGGGCCTTTTCCGACCCCACCTGGATTTTGCCGAGTGTCTCATACTTTTAAAGTACCAGTCCTAGGTAGACTATGCCAAATATTTCACTGAACGGAGCCCATGCAAAGGTGCAGCAACGCCTCAAACCAAAAATCCCGGCATCGAAAAAAAGTTATTTTCGTCGACTTTTTCGACTATTATCACTCTTCCAGCAGATGATACCCTTGTATTTTTTTGCGTACTTACCGTTTCTGTGCTTTAAAAAGGCCTCTAATAAATTTTCAGGCGCCTTCCGGTCCATTGTTGCCACTTTTGGCCCATTTTGAGGGGTTTTTCAATTTTACACACTCAGAACTTAATTTAAACTAAGAACCGTATACGTTTTTGACAAGAATGCAAAATAATGAATATATAATCTTCAGTGAAACTTATTTATTTATTTCTTTTATACTTTGTACAATTGAGCCTCTGGCCAAGGCTATGGCACACGTCATATTCGGTACATGGTGAACAGTTGTATACAGCGATATACACAAGGTACAAGTGTAAAATTATACTAGCCAATAAGTTCCTGAAGGTTATAGAATGCTTTTCGAATAAGAAAGCACGCAGCCCCATAAAGAACGACGTTAGGTCAGCATTTCAAAAGTGTAGCTTCACACTCCAGGGCAGTGCGTTGAACATCTGTATTGCCGAAAATTTGACATCCTGCTCAGTCCGCCTCAATTGAGTGATTTTATTAGGGATGTTCTTATGCCTACTGTTGTAATGATGATTGGGCAGGAGGTCAGAAGGCAAAATAAGAGCACTGGACATGGCAAATTTCAGGCAATCCCAGATGTAAAGGGAGGTGAGGGTAAACAATTTATATTTAACAAAAATCGGGCGGCAGTGTGAGTTATGAGCAAAGACATAAAGACGGAGTGCTCGTATCTAAAAGCACGGGGAAAAAGTGAAGCCTGGTTTGGCGCTGGATGCTTGTGTGAGTGTGTAAATGAGCGCGGGAATCCATGGTGGCAAACAGAAATTTGATTTGAACTTGTCCTCTTGATTTTTCCACATTCCTTCTTTGAAACGTATTTTAAATGCCTAAAACGAATATTTTAAGAAAGTTGGGACTGCGACTTTTTACAATACACTTACTTTTTCTCGGTAACAGGCAGTAATCTCAGATAAAGTTAGTTTTTCTTCTGCTCATGGTTATTCTGCCGGTTCAAACAGGTGGTTACAGTCCTAGATGACCGTTACTCCCAAATGAAATTAATCGGTCGACGACGGACCAAAACTAACCTAAAGTTAAAAATATATGAGTGTGTAAGTGAATTTGGGCAAAAATCAACCTAAAATACTTTATTTCCGCAATTTTATTTAGTTCCCGCCCTACAGTTGAATTTCAAACTTGTCCGGATTTCGCCGCCAATCCTCTAGCTAATAGTAGAGGTGATTGAAAAGAAGCTCCATTTTTTGGTTCAATCGCTCCGTCCTAATAAACTTTCCACATTTTTTGCGGTTGTCAGTAGGTACGTAAAATTTCGAAATTATCAATAATTATTAGCTATTTGAACTAGTCACTCGCGTACGCGTAAACTGATTACGGTTCGCTGGATTGGTCGTCCGGTGGCAGCACAGGTCGATATACTGTTGATTAGCGAGTGACTAGTCCAAGTAGCAATTAATTATTGATAATTTCGAAATACCTACTGACAACCGCAAAAGATGTGGAAAGTTTATTAAACTTTAAAGTGTTCATAGTCACTACCGCTCTGAAGATGCCTGAACAGGCGAAATGCATTAGAAACTAATACACAACGAAGTAAGCACCTTTGGCATACCATCACATTATTGAATTGAATTACAAGTGCAATATGCATATCAAACTTGCTATGTATTCGTCTCCGCACTTTTCATTTCTGGCCATAAAAATGGCTTCCTATGAATTTTAAGAGGTCTAACGGTCCATTGTTGCCAATTTTTATCAATTTTTAGCATACTTTGCTTCGTAACTTTTCCCTATGTTGCCGAATGTTCAAGACAAATCGTCTCAGTGCCAAAAATGTCAAAAATTGGAGTAATAATCACGTTGAAAGTTCTAGGTAGTGCATTATGACTTTCAAGTGATTTGTGAGACACTGTGCCCATGCAGTTTCAGTTGTTTGGTATATGGCCTGTAGTAGGCATCTTGAGAACCAAGAACTATCTCCAGGTTATAGGAACAAACTGGTGAGATGGAGTGAAGATGATGTGGAAGCACCTTGAGGGTTCGTTGCGGCCTGTTCATCTGAGCCATCATAATTTCGGTGAGACACATTGCAATTTTCCATATTGGATATGTTATTTGCAGGGACAAAAAACGTTTAATTCACTTCCCCACTTTCACTTTTCCACATGTTAACTTGAAAAAACCCCTAATAATTGGTAAAAATTGGCAACGATGGACCGATTGGTGTTTTAAAATTCATAGGAAGCCATTTTTATGACCAGAAATGAAAAGTACGTAGAAAAATACATAGGGCATACACCTGTGGAGGATGACTAAGGTTGAAAAACATTCAGAAGAGCTACCTTCAAGGCAGAAAAGGCTGCTAAACAATTCCCCGTCAATTTTCACAATGTGGGAATCCAGGTACAAATATACTTTTTTGATATGTTGTTTATACGGGTAAGAGCTATTACGTACGTCAATATAAAAGTTGTTCCCCACTTTCTTGAATCTAAGACGTGGCAATTTATCAAATTTTGCCCATTTTTGGCTCTTGGAACGATTTTTGTCGAAAATTTGGCCATGTTGAAAAAAGTTTCACTGAACACTTTATATTCATTATTTTGCGTTCTTGTCAAAAACGTATACGGTTCTTAGTTTTAATTGAGTTCTGCGTGTGTAAAATAGATAAAAACCCTCAAAATGGGCCGAAAATGGCAACAATAGGCTGTACAGCCAAAAAAAAATTAATCGGGGGCATTTTAAAAGGCTAGAAACGGAAAGTACGCAAAATATACACTGGGATCATTTGCTGATAGAGGGAAAAAAAATGACGAAAATAACTATTTTTCGATGCTAGGATTTTGGGTTTGAGGCGCTGCTGCACCTTTACGCAAGTTTCTTTTCTGTGAAATTTTTGGCACAGAGTCTACTTATGACTAGTACTTTGAAAATATGAAACATTCAGCAAAATCCAGGTGGGGCCGGAAAAGGCCTTCAACGATATTCCTCCTTTCTAATCCATTTAAATTAAGATTTTCCAAAAAAAATGGAAAATTGGGATTTTTCCACAATTTCCAGATCTAGAGGAACGCTTACAATTTGTCAAAATTTACGGAATGACAATGTCAGAAGTTGTAATGGGCCTGTTGCAAACTTTTACTGGAGCAAGAATAAGAGTTCTTTCCTAAAGAAAGTGTCTCAAAAATTACTATGAGGGCATTGGCCAAATCTGAAATGCACTACTTACTTCACAATTTGCTAAAAGAGCAGGGTTTTTTCAAGCTTCCCGCTTCAAAAACGATACCACGGCACAGGTGAACATTTCGTTAGAGGAGTCTCTCATTTATCAGGGAGGATAATACTTTATATGCCACGCTCAGTAGAGTGATTCCTCTATAATTCTTACATTCGAATTTATCTCCCTTTTTGAAAATGGGGCAGATGGTTCCAATACTCCATTTCGCTGGCATTTTCTCTGATGTCCATATTAATTCGATTAACTCGTGTACTTCGTTTATCAGTGCCTCTCCCCCATTCTTCAGTAACTCGGCTGTTATTTCATCTTCTCCCGATGCCTTGTTGTTCTTGAGTTTCCGTATTCTTTCCGCGACCTCCTCTCTAGTCGGTATTTCATTGAGGTCGTCTTGTCTTTCTTCGTTTTTCTCTTCTTCTGTTTTCAGTCTTTCTCCACTACTTTTCTCGGACAGCAGCTCTTTAGAATGTTCTGCCCGTCTCTCGAGGATGTTCTTTTCTTCCTCAACTAAACGCCCTTCTTTGTTTTTGCACCCGTTTGCTCTAGGCTGAAACCCACTTCTCATTTTGCTCATTGCAGCATAAAATTTTCTACTCTCATTCTGTTTGCTTAGATGTTCTATCTCTTCCATTTGTTGTCTTACCGCCTGTCTCTTTCTCTTCCTAAGAAGTTTGTTTGCTTTCCATCTAAGTTGTTGGTATCCGTCTACACTACCTCTCGTTAACCTTTGTAGCATCTTTTCTCTTGCCTCAGTTTTTTCTCTAACAGCCTTTGCACATTCCTCGTCAAACCATTCTGCGTTTCTGCACCTCCTTTTCTCACCGATTGTCTCTTCAACTGCTTCCTTTATTGCAGTCTCCATTTTAGCCCATACATCTTCTGGGGCTGGGCTATCTTCCACCTCTGGTGTTGGACTATCTTCCTTTTCTGGGGTTGAATTGCCTTCCACTTCTTCTTTCTTTAGTTTTCTTGCCAGCACTATGCTCATGTGCCTCCTTGTTCTTGTTGAGATTTTCAGTTACCCATCTCCTTGTTTCTGGCACACTTGTTTTCATTGCATTGGCAATTCTTTCTCGAACCTTGACTTTCACTAGGAAATGGTCAGAATCACAGTTTGGCCCTCTGCAGCTTCTAACATCCATCTCCGATGATCGGTGCCTTGCTGATACTAGCACATGATCTATTTGATTAACTTCCTCGCTGCCTGGAATTTGCCATATCCCAAGATGTATCTTCTTGTGTGGGAACGATGTGCTTCTGATATACAGTTTATTCCGTGCTGCAAACTGTGCTGTCATATTCTCGTTGTCGTTATTCGTTTCGTGTAATGTATAGTGTCCTGCTACTTGCTTCTGATCTTCCATTTTGCCAATTTTGGTGTTGAAGTCGCCCATTACCAATAAAAGGTCATGGTGACTTACTCTGGTGCACACCTCTTCTAGTGTGTCGTAGAAGCTTTCCTTTTCTACTTCATCCTTCTCTTCGGTTGCAGCATGCACTGATATCAATGTCATGTTTCTAAATTTCCCCTTCATTCTGATTTTGCAGATTCTTTTGTTGATATTCTCATACCCAAGCAGGCATTTCCTTGCTTTTCTCTACAGCATAAAACCTGTTCCAAATTGACCGGTATTTTCGATTGTTCTGCTGTATATCATGCTAAATTCGGGCTTGTCGAACTTGCCTTCACCTTGCCATCTGATTTCCTGCAAGGCCATCACGTCGATGTTATACTTTCCCATTCTGCTTGCTATCTCCATCATTTTTCCCGCTTGTTTCATTGGTCTTACGGTTCTGGTTGCCATTGAAATGTCTTTGGCTTGACCATTTTTCTGTTTTTCCGATGAGCCATACTAGTTTGGTCGATTTCTCCGTTGATTCCATGTGTACCGAGGCATCGTCTTGTTTTTCGTAGCTACGGTTTTTTTTACGTGGTAGGGTTGCTAGCCCTACGCACAACTTTCTCCTTTACCTGGGATTGGGACCAGCTAGAGGTGAACATCTCAACCTTAGGCGGAGTTTATCATGCTGATTGCCGAGTGTAAAATTCAGCCTCTAAATGTGACTGCAAACTGGAGCCCTCATCACTGAAGTCTGCTGCCAATGAAAGCGGTGTAAGCGGCCGCTTGAGCAGACCACCCTCTTAAGAGCAAAACTAGCCATCAAAAAGCATTCATTGGGGATACTTATGCAAACCCTCATACTTGCTTAAGAAAAAGAAATAACTTGGGACCCTGGGATGATCCAGGAGGCTGGTAAAAATTAGATCAGTCTAATCTGTGGTGGCAGCTCTTTATGTCCCTCCTTTCAGCTAAAGACTTTTTTATACTCCAGCCAAGAACTTGAGATCTGGTGACTCAGGATGTGAAGCCAATTGTCTGAAGAAATTTCTCTTTCAAAATTAAAACAATGTCCCTTCCATGTTTCAGGGAAACTATCAAGAGATGATGACAAGGTACAAACAATTATTAACCTACATCAAAAGTGCAGTCACCAGAAATCATAGTGAGAAGTCGATAAATTCAATTTTAGACTATATTTCCACCTCAAAAAATGTGAGTATGACTCCCTTTATTCATCAACTCAACCTGAGAAGAGATAACTTAATTTTTGTTTTGCTTTTCAAACATATAAAAACACGTATGCACTTAAAGGAACTTTCAGGTGCAGTAGAAAACTGTTCTTATCTCAGAGACCCTAGGAGCTGATAATGAGTGCACTGTTTTACTGATAAAATTACAAAAAAATCACTTTTAGTTCTTAACACACAGCTCATTATATTTGCCCAGTCTGTTTCCTACTTCTTCAAATCTACTGCATCCCGAGCAGTTTTTTTCAGTCCATGTCAATCAGGTTTGCCCAGTAAGAGGCGTCAGAGAATTTAAGTTGAATTTGCAAAATGCTCCTCAAGTGTGATTGCAACTGTTTTAACTTTTAAGTGTTTGTATTCTCCTTACGTCCATGTGTCACAAAAACAAATGCATTCAATCAATTAAAATCATCTTATTATATTATGAAATCCTAGTCCCTTACAATCGTAGAGACTTGGGGTGTGCTGTCCTGAAGGTTCCAGTAGAGTGTGATTATGGAAGTTTTATGGAAATGTTGCACTTTATGTGCGGAAACCATTGTGTTTCACGCAAAGTTTTACAAAAGAATCAGTACTTAAATTGCAAACTCCTGACACAAAGAGAGCTATATTTTCATGATCTCTTACAAGTCGCAGCCAAATTCAACAAAACCATACAAAAGTCTAATAAAATGTCTGACAAACATTTTAAAGCTCTAAACCTGTAAGTAAACTGTTGAATATTTGATCCTCTAAAAAACATAAGTTATATTTTTGTACAAAATTCGGCTCAATCCAAAAAAGTTTACTACCTAAATACCTTAAAAGAAAAAAAGAAATAATAATAATAATAATAATAACACTGGAACTCATGGGAGTGCACCCGAATATAGTAAACGCCTGTAAGAACATGATGGAGCACTGGTCAACATGCATCCAACTAAGAGGAAAAACAGATACAATTATCACCTCTGAAATTAAAATAAGACGAGGAATCTACCAAGGGGACGCGTTCTCCCCCCTTCTGTTCTGCGTTGGATTAATACCCCTCTCTACACGACTAAACAACATGAACAATGGATATAACATCAAGGCAGGCCATAAACAACTGACGCACCTCCTGTATATGGATGATCTGAAACTGTTCAGCAGCAGCGACGAGAAACTGCAAAATCAACTCGA